CCTTATTGCTTTAGAATATCTAGATTGTTTAGGTTACTTAATATTTTATTACCTTATTAGTTTCCTAGGTAGAATAGACTTAGATCTAGTTGGTGCCTATATAAAGGCCCCTTCCCCTATGTTATTTTTCATAATTAAATCATCCAAGAATTAATAAGAACTCAAGAACTTTTGTTCATCCTCTTTGCTGTAGATTTTCACCAAAATTCTATAGCAATTATATCGTTTAGAGGGGTGCGGTTTGTGAACCTCTAGGCAACTATCGGCGATTCAAGGCACTGGTTTGTGGCTTATCGGCAGTCGAAACACACGATCTTCATCATATTTACGCTACGCAATATAAGGACCAAAACGCGACGCGATGCGCAATGCGCATTTTAAAACACTGATCAGAACATAAAAGTTTCCATTTTTGTCTAGGCTGTTTTGAAGAACTTCGAGTACATTCAATTATGTTATAGTCCAAAGAATATATTATCTATTTAAAATAAATAAAATATTAAAATTTCATTGTGAAAAAGAGAAGACTGAAAAATGATGTATAGCTTAGAGACATGCACAAACTCCCACCTTTACACTAAAAGACCCAAGGAAAAAATATTAAAAATAAAAAGAAAATATAATAACAAAAAATATTACACTGATCAGGTACAAATCTAACCATCTCTTCTACACGTAAAATTTTCAAGCTGACATTCATCAAAGATTAAGAAACAAATAAATTAATTAAAAGAGAAAACAAAAAACAAAGAACCAGTGCAAAAATGTAGTGAAAGCTTGATCTATATTGTTGCATAAGAAGCTACATAATTATTAGATATATCACTGCAAAGACATGATAAACACTACGAAATCAACTAGACAAGTACCCAACACATAATCCAAACTCACAAATCTCAGATATAACTATTTGTACAATAACGGGCCTGACCTCGACACGGCGAATCTCGGCAATGGGCTTGGGCCCGTGCTGCCCGACGTTGACCCCTCCACAAACTTCGACTTGTTGCTTAAGCTGTAGCCCAATGGGCCCGACCGCCTCCCATTTCTATTTCTGACATCATTATTGCTTCTCGGCCCAAAACCATCGGCCTCATAGTGGTCTGGCCCGTGAGCAGACGAGGGCTTGAAATAGCCCGACTCGTTGGCTTGCGACTGTGGTGTCGAGTCAGCACGTGGATGATGATGCCTCATCGAGGGCGAAGCATGCGCGAGTGACATGGTGGGAGAATGACGTGGCGAAAGATTCAATAGTGCAAGCGGTGTTGATGAGTTGGAGTAGTATTGGCTGTATACAGATCGTAGGATAGCATAAGGTATGTGGGATTCTAAGGAGCTTCGCGGTAGATATGGTGAGATGTCGCACACTTGATCGAGGAAGATCAGCTTTGCCACGAGGTGGGACCTACAGATTGCAAAAAATGAAGGAAAAACAAAAATTTACATAGGTCGATTATATGTAAACAAACTGTAATCAAAGAGACTTTATATAATCTGACAATTTAGGATTATTCCGACTTACCTATTGCTTTCACTCCAAGACTCTAGAACAATTCCGGCGGAGAATTTGATGAAAAGCTGCATTGTCGATTTTATGCTTACCTCTATCGATGTATAGCTCTGCGTCTCGAGATCCAATGACTCACCCATGTGACCATTTGAATGATATTCTCTCTGCTGATATTCTCTTTCAAGTCTGACAAATTCACTTCCTGCTATCACAGCACATATGCACCTGACAACGAAAAATTGGTTCACAAAACTTCATAATCTAAACCAAAATTAAGCACATGGAGATTACCCGACGGGTTCGCTACAAAATTAGCCCAATTACATTCACAAAAACTACTAGGGGGCGATTGGAAATGAGCTATGACCCAACTTAACCGACTATAACCGGCTGAGTCATTTCATATCCAATCACCTAACTCAAAATCCAACTCAACCCATCAACCCAACTTACACATCACATCAACTTTAATTAACTACTGATCCACTCACATAATTTTAACTACCTATCACTTCCTATAATATATCTCCTACTTTTACACCGTGCCAACTTTAATCATTACATTTTAATTATTATTTAATTTCAGATTCAGAATCATCCACTATATCTACTTTATTCAAAATAACTCATATTAACTCACCAGCTTTGGATAATAACTAATTACATTCATATCCAATTGCCCACCTAATTATCCATATTTTTCCCTTCCAACTTGTTTCTCTACACACTGAAACAAAGACTCGCAAGTACCTGGCCAAACAATGCACATTATTGCTGAAGCCTCCCGTTTCAACATTAAAGGCAGTTGTGTTCCACACGGAGGACGCCAAAAAAGTGGCGAACAAATACGGCAGCAAGCTCCACGACCCGTCGTTCGCTCCCCCAACCTCATCCAAAATCGACCTAATCCACTCAAAATCACGATTCCCGACACCATTCACTATGCTCGCCACTCTCCTCATTCTCCTCACCTCTCTCCTCTCGGGTATCTCATCCGGCAGATGCCCCGCCACTCCTGCTAGAAGCGAATATATCAGAGGCGCACCTTCCCTGAGCACAGCTCCGGATGCTTCCGCCAGCAAGGCACCAAAGGCTACCCCCTGGCCCGCCTGGATGCAGAACCTGACCATCGTGTCCATGTCAATAATCTGCTTTATATTCGTCTCGGTCTCCACCCGATCCCCAGCGTGCATGCTTGCAGCCACCGCCTCGAGATTCTCTCGGTTCGCGCGCAAAGTCGTGTCGATGCAGTTGAGGAGTGCGGCCGTGTGCTCCTTCAGCATCCTGTCCAGCCTGTCGACCCCATAGCTTCCGAACGTGCGGACAAACGCTTTTAGCTCACGGAGATCAGTGACCGACTCGGCGAAATAGCCCCCGACAGGCCTCGTGCTTTTAAAGCACCTGTGGAGAGGGGCGAATAGGATGCCGGCATTCGAGATGTCTTTGACAATGTTGTCAATATACCAGTTGCAGACAGCCTCAGTTGCCGACCCAGTTTGCTGCTCAGGGGATTTTTCGAACAGCTGGAGAGATGAGACGGGGCCAGAGTAGGTCTCGGCGAGGAGGATCTCACGGATGCCTTGGGTGAGGTCCATGCTGACGTGTTGCTCTGCCAGGTGAACTATGGAGGTGTGCCTGCGGATGAGAGATTCGAGGATGGAAGGCCTCTGGAGATCGGAATCGGTTTTCAGCACGGTGAGGAGTCGACGTTTGAAGTTCCCAAGGATACATTCTCTCATGTACTGCATGACAGTGTGTAAAGCTTCAGTTTCTTTTAAGAGGATACCTGAGGTTTTCTTTAAACCACCCAGCTTTGAAGACTATGAGCATCTCCAATGGAACACTGACCATTTTGTCTTCTTGTATGGCATGGAGAAAGAAAATTAAGAAAATGTGTCTCTAATGGTTCATTTAATTGTGGTATAATTGAAATGGGTAAAATTATAATTGGTTGGAGAAGAGAGATAAATTAAATAAATATTATAATATATAATAGAAGTTGTTAAGGACTTCTACATCTAGAAAGACTTCTAGACATTTTCTATGCCACATAGACTTTTTTGTGCCATGTGGCAACAAATAGCTATTCAAAGACAATTGGAGATGCTCTATGGTTTCAGTGTCTTAAAATGAAATGTAAAATTACCTCTCGAAGAACAAATACATGGTTTAGAACGCATATAGGTTCCATGTCATTCAAGACTGAACAAAGATTTGTTAATCTCTGCATTGCAGCTTCTAACCTGTCCACCAAAACAGATTATTGAAAAAATACACTGTCCCAGAAGAGTTGAAAAATGGAATATTTTGAAAATTTAAAGCTAACAAACATTTTGATAGAACTGTTATTTTCTGGATAGCTCTCATAGCCCGGCAAATGAAAATTGTATGGAGCTCTTGGAGATTTTATTGAAGGGGCAGATACTCTGGATGTTAAGTTCATAAGATTCGCTGCTTGTTCAGGGTTAAGCTGAAAATTCAATACCATTCAATACAGTAAGAATATGTCAAACTTTACAAGTATGTCAAATGGATTCAGAAAATAAAGAAACCTGCATCTCCAAGAAGCCAAATCCTCCTTCTGAGCCGAGAATATTTATTAAACCTTCCAGTCCACCCATGATGGATTCAATAAGAGATTCAACATATAGAACTGCATCTCGGCCAATTTTCGTCACCTGAAAGAGTCTAGAGTTAGGGCCATGAAGGATCTTCATGAAGAGAAAATTATAAAATTATCACTGTCAATGGTTTGAGACTTGAGAGCCAATGTGAACAACTGCATGATTAAAGTTTAGTTCATAAATACCTCCTCTGGAGCAATAGGTGATGCACATTCTGGAAAGCTGCTAGCAACACCAAGCCAGGCACAACAATGTTGCGGACGACCTTCAGGACCAAACATGGTGTTACGGAAAACCTGAAGAACCGCTGGAGTCAAATTAATGATACAAAATTTTTATTTAAAAAGAAAAAGCATAAACTGACATTAACTCACAGTTGTAAGATGTTGATGATAGAAGTAAAGTTTCTTCAGACTCCCATACTTCGATAATAGAGTTTCAAGCTCATCAACACATCTGCATTTGAACCAATACGCGTCAGCAACCTCGTGGGTAACTTAGAAAAATAATACTCTGACATGCATTTACTATATACCTGGACCAATTGTGTGCCGCATTCCCTTCAGATAATAAGCCCTCTTTACCTGTAGATACCGTAGCTTTCTCCAAATGTCTAATATTAATAGATGAACGTGCAGAAGTCACAATCATCAATATGGATAGCCAATCCTTGCGTAATTCCTGAGGGGAAAAGAATTTTAGGAACTTGAATAACCACGAAAGATTTTATACAGTTCAATAAGCAATAATCTTTAAAATGATTTGCTGGTTGATACATTGGGCAGCAAATTAAAATCCCCAATCGAGTTCAGATACAGATTTACGACCAAATTATAGAACAAGTTAAACCAGCAAAGAATGTAATGGAAATAGTAGGATGGAAAAACCAAATAAAAAACTTCTAGATCAATTATCGCTCGGCTTATATCTGAAAAATATTTTGCAGCCTGAACAAACAAGCAATGGCTATTCTCAACCAAAAACAGCCCAAATTTCTGTTCATACCATTATTCATTGATCAGTCACCAGGTTGAGAGCCAATTCAGAACCGTCACTTATTCAGAATCCATCAAGTCATGCTAATCACATATGATTGTTGATATTATTATAACGTCGGTTCAGAAAGAATCTTTTGAAAGCAGGAAAACAAATATGCAGTACAATTAAGTTATATCTATAAAATGCAATAAAGTCCCTTTCCATTAGCCCGATGTTTTCATATATTAGCTTGACTATGATAATTGAGCAAAAATGTGAAAACTATGTCTACTGCACTCTAGCTTTTCGGGGGGCGGGGGGAGGTTGCTTGGTTATGTGAAAACAATAATAACCCATTTCATTTTCTCTTTCTTTTAGGGGGTTTTTCTGGGTTATGTGAAAACTATGTCTACTTCAGTCTAGCTTAACATAAAAATAAAGGTAAGCAGTCGGGGTTTGATAACGAAGATATAAACTGACTTCATGAACAGCTTACTGATAAATCACAGGTGATAGCCGAAATATTTTCACCCTGAAGTTTTGGTATATTTTCTAGATGCTGAACCATTCTTTGGAAAAGTCCCTTCAATGTAGAATCTACGTCGAGAGCCACCATTCCAGGGGTACCAAGCAGAAATCGGATTCTACCAGCACAGGACGATAGATATGACAAGGCATAGCCTCTAATGGCTGAAATAAATTAAATAATTAATTAGTGCCAATTGAATAACCCAACAAAGATCAAACGGAGTCAGCATGGGCTCCCAAAAGTGGCACTCTGTGTTGCCCATGCCTATGGTAGATATACTGGACATAATGAAAAAATGAGCAAGACACAAGATGCACACAAATTTTAAATAAGGCATTATAACTTAAAATCCCATGCAAATCTAATATTAGGGTCCAAGCCACAAATTATAAAAGTGATACATGAATTAGCATTGTGTAGGGAACCTAACCTGCAATATACTTGCGGACAAGACAGCAAAGACGGTCCATTCCATCCAATAAGAACCCGATAGTTGGATCATTTGGATCCTGCAATCATACAGACAAAATGTGGTTCACTGCAGAATAGTTAATCAAAATAAAAAAACATAACTTAAAAAAAAATAATAATAATAATTGTGGGCATCATCTAACAGACCGCAACAGATAAGACATTTAACAAAGAAAAATACCACAGAAAATATATATATTTATATAAGTATATAACTGGATTTACATTCTTACAGTTTCAACCGCCACAACTCGAGCAGTTTTTGATTTAGAAGTCGCTATCCCAACATGCTGGAAATACCATAGTACTTCACTCTGTGCAAAGGCTAAGGCAGAAAACACCATCTGCACAAAACCAACAGCCTTTAAGTTTTATGTGTATCATAGCTCCTCCACAGGCAAATAATGCAGTTACCAAAGCAGAAATTAGCATCTAAGAGAATATTTCCCAGTTGCATGCTGTTCTTATTTGAAGTTTGGGGTAGACCAAATATTTGATAACCACACACCCAAGGCTCATCAATTGCCTTTATCATTTTCGCAATCTACCCTTGTCTACCAAGATTCCATAATGGCTTCTTATCATGAAACATCTAAGAACACACAAACCATATATGGAAAATTAGCTTAAGACACATGCATATAATCATAAACATGCACACCTGAATATTAGGAGCCAATAAACTTGGTTGATCAGTAAAGAAGAGAACCATCCTTCCAATCTCCTGCTTCAACAATATTCTTCTTTCGTGGTGTATAGCATCACAGGTGTATAACGCTTGCTCATGAACTTCACTGTGACGATATATAAATATAAATCAAATAAAAGAATATAAGAAACTATCAAGATTTAATGTCAGGCATTTCGAAACAAAGTAAAATACATAGTTACAAAAAAATTTAAATAATTAAGAGTTCAGAACTTATAACTACTATATCCATAGCATTAAATCATGCTTCCAGTTCCTCCACGGAAGACACCTTGGGAAATGACAAATTAAAACCACAAAAAAAAAAAAAAAAAAAAAAAAGATCAGCAACACTTCTTAAATTTGTCAATACCTTATCATTTTCTCTACCTGCTTTGCAACACTGTATTCAAGATCTGCTTCCTTTTGCCTTGTTCTTCCAGACTTTGCCAACTTCTTTGATTCAAGTATCCGTGGTAAAACATATAACTGATAGTCATCGTGCAACAATATATACTGCAGAAACAAAACATATTTGTTTTAAGAAATGCATATTATTAAATCCTGAATTGAGACCAAGCATTTCATGATTTTGTAATTTGATATTTCGAATTTATTTATTTTAGTAACTTATAATGTTGACAGTAGATAATAATACATAATCTGCTACTCTTGGACTATTAACAAACTATGATTCCAAAGAAAAGCAATAATTTGTTGAAAAGCACATGATAAGGTCTTAGATAAGGCTTTTTCCCACTATTATGAGAAAGACAAGGAAATAAAGGTTTCATCTATAGTAAGTGAGAAAAACTCACTTCGTCCCTGAATAAAGACAGGACTAGGTTTTCCTTCAGCACAACCTGGAAGAAAATAATAAACAAAGATCTATTAGCCAAAATGGAGGACCAAATTCTAAAAAATCGAAGTATCAAAATTACTGAATGCACACAAATAATTAACACGCATTTCATATAAATATAAATATTAAATCACATCAGATAAAGAAGAATTGTCTCGTAGTTACCAAGGCGATATCAATGCTTGTGACTCTAAGTAGCTCATCAGGACAAACCAAATATCCAAATAATACCCATTCACGGTAGGAAGTAACATTTGCCAGGTCTTGAGCTCTCTGCAGTGTGACAAATGTAAATGTAAAGTCAAAGTGGAAGGCATATCAGTGAACAACAGAGGAACTCCAGTTACCATTGGATGTGCCGAGTTAGTGAGTATGTCTGGATATCTAGGATGAAATGGACTTAGAAAACCCTCATTTCGCAGCTTCCTCGTGTCTGTAGATAAGAAGATAATAGGGCCCACAGCCTCCAAAACCTGAAAAATAGAATATATGATAGAGATAAGTAATATGCACTACCTTATAAAGATAATAAAACATCTCTATTGTTTATTTTTGTGATTGTTATCTAGTTAACATTTCGAGCAGTCACTCTGAATGGCATCATTAGCTTCAGATTAAGGCAGGCAATTGTTATGCATGTAACAGTCCACAGGTATAAAAGAATGTATTATGATATAAAATGATTCAGCCTACGAAAATGGGATAAACTAAAAACAAAAATGGGATAAACTATAAAACAAGTTGACAAGCAATATTACAATGAACACACCCCACATCAAAAAGTTATAGAAAACATTCTGTCACATCAAAGCTAAGGAAGCCAAGTGCCCATTATAGTTAGTTACTTGATTAGGGACTGGAGAAAAACAGATACGACGGTAAATGTCAGAGTAATAAATTGCAGCCAAGAAGACAATGTTACCTCTCCAATCCTAGGACTGACAAAATTAAGATCTTCATGCAACCCCTTCAATGGTGGATCATAAGAATCTACAAATTGAACTAACCTGGCATTCCAGGGGGGGTAAAAAAAAGATTAGCTACAGACTGAAATATATCTTGATACGAATTTGGGTCCCTTTTAAAAAACAAAAGTAAAATGCATATCCTAACATAGCTCAGCATGGGAAACTGGAAACAAATTGAGCATAACAAAAAAGGGAGTTATATTAAGAGCCAGAGCTTAAGTTAAAAGCTAACAATAAACTACAAGAGATTCATAATATGAATATGAATGTAGTTGAAATCTCACCTATGGTAAAAATCACAATCACGGTCATTCCGTGCCATAGCGTGCAAAAGATTGTACGTTTGCAGTATCATTTTTCTAGGTATCTGTAGTGCAATTGTTTATCATGATTGTGATATATTAACGTAAACAGGAAAAAATCAGATGAAAGGTTATCACAGGAAAACCAATAACATAGGTGACCATAACTTGCCTTCTCGGAAAAAAAATTGACCCGTACAAATGAGCAAAAGAGATCCATAAAGGCATGTAGTATGAGGGAGTTTTGATGGGGCTGCAAAAAAATGGTTGAAACGTTAAAAAACCTGAGCTGATAAAAGCAATGGTGATCCCCCATTTGGATGGCTATTACAGTATATCTTAAGAGTACGTCATAAAATAATTTCACAACTTATAGTATGAAATAGGTAACTACAGGCTATCAGCAGAAATAATATATGAACAACACAGAACTAGTGTATTCTTGGCTTCTCAACAAATAGTGTCCTTTTTTCGTTCCTCACCAGCAAGGTAATCACAGTACTGCTTAGATCCAATATGAGCCGCAGAGATTGTTCTCGGAATGCCATCAAGTCAAGAAGCAGCTGATACAGAGAGTGGAATGAAATGTCATTAGATCTGCAGAACATACAAGGTGCATACACAAAGCAAGGCTAACTGCCTAACACAAACAAGATTCATCACCCACCTGGCAAAGTCATATCATTACATTTATACCGTTGTGGGATTTTCACAGAAAATCTTTCCCTCAGATAATTTATTTACCACGCCCAAATTATAACAAGTTACAAAAACATATTTTGTTACGATTTAGTAAATGCCTTATACAAACAAAATTCTACACATGATGAAAAGCACCCAGAATAGATTACATTTCCTGACCCAAAAAACAAAAAATTATAAAGAAAAAGAACAGCCAGCAAGAGTAAGTATGGTAATGTACCATTGTCACAATTGACTTGAATATGATTCTTGTGTTAAAGCACCAATACAGACTATAGATACAAGCCAATAATATTCACGTCTCACCTGAATCCATGGCTCCAAGCTCTGCAAATGAACCTCAACACTATCGTTCATAACGTCCAATGCAAACTTATCCACCTATCACAGCCGTCCATGGAACAATGATACTAAGACCCAGTTCAAAGAAGAAAAAAGAATAATATTTTTTTTTTCAAAAGGTCCAAAAGAGCTACCCGTTCAAGCTGCAACTTGCTGTGGTGTTCAGGAAACTTTTTCTCAAGCAAAATACAAATTTTGGGTTGGTTTGGTAGCAGGCCTGCTTTCCAGAATGCCTCTGAGTAGATATGATTTACCAAATCAGGATAATCCAAAATCTGATTAAGTCTATACATTTTCGCCATTAACCCTTCCGCTACATGGGTGAGTTGGTACACCCACTGCATGTTCAAACCCTTCTGGGATGAACTGCCAGAGCCTTGATACGCGGCTCCACCATTACTTATGGATCCTATATCTGGGCCCAAGTACTCGGTCCACCTTGTTGGGCCCTCCCATTCTTTTGATCTGACCGCTGCCTGTGTTGATGATAACACATCTTGAGATGGGAAATGCGGCCACGATTTCGCCATTTTCTGCCCCCCTCACGCAGTTCTTTTCAGACCATAAGCCCTTCCATTTCCTGCAATTTCACAACAAAACAGTTCAGGGATCAAGAACAACGAACAATTATGTCTGACATAAAGAAAAAAACCCTGCATGCCTCCTCCACCGGTTCACGCTCTGTGGAGCTGAAAAACCAACACACAACAGACATACTCCATCCAGCTAAAACTTCAGGAAAAATGCATCAAAAACTTTTTTCTATATACTGAGAAAATGAACAAGAAAAGAAAAAAACACAAGGTTAACATCAACTTGATAGCTGCTTCATCACAATCCGACACTGCTGCATAAAATAATGATCAATTTCAAGTCCTTCCATTCTTCAACATTTAGCCACAACTGGGCTAGCACTAATTTTCTCCTTCCCTCCACGGAGAAAAATAAATTCATAAAGGATACATAATTCCTCAATTCTGAAAGAGACATAACCGGAAAAAGTACCATTAGCACGAAATGAAGATGAAGGTTCGATCGTTGAAGCTTCTTAGGAGCAGAACTGATCACGGGAGCTACTTCAACTTCAGATCTACCTTTCGCTACAGCAAAAATTACTCTCAACGCTACAAAATACCGAGCAAATTACTCGAGGTACAATAATTAACCAGACGAGCTATATAGAGTTAATGGTTTTCTTCACAGTACACTACAGCGCCAGGCGCAGGGGTTGACGATGAGTGTGTGGATGTGTGTGAGAGAGAAAATTTTATTGTTTTCCCCGAAAACGAAAGTGGCAAAATCGGAAATAAAGCTCCGCATGATCTCGCTATATTGGGGCAATTTTATATAGTGCATAAAAATAGGTCAAGATTTTTCTCTATTGGTAATTTAATTTTCAATTTTTATGAAGTATTTCTATTTTATAATTCTATATAAGAAAGAATATATGAGTAATCTATTAATTATAAGTTTAAAGATAAAAATCTATCAATTTGAAATTCAAAATACTTTAAAATAATTGATTGTCTTTGATCTTGAATTGATGTATTTTTATTTTTGTGTCTATGCTAAATTGATAGTTTATTCATCTTTGAAATAGTAGAGGAAGATAAAAGCAACGTGTCCAAATATAGTCCACAACAAATTACCTTAATTTGAATATCTAAACACTATATTTTGTTTTCTCTTAATTAAAGACTACTAGTACAATATACGTGTAGTACACGGGTGTTTGTTAAAAAATTATTCTTAAATTTTAAAATTAATGAAAAAAATTATTTTAAGTTTTATTTAGTTTTTTACAAAAATTATATATTATTATATAATTTAGAAAGACACATGTTATTTGTGCGACTTACATGCGTTGTATTATTATAGAAATTTTTATAACTTATATCATATAACTACTTAAAATATAAAAATATTAATTGATAAATAATTTTATTTTTCTAATTATATTAAAAAAATATTATTGTTATAAATACATTTTTTTATACATACAATATGGATGTTAAATCGAAGTTCAGACCAAATTATTTTTGAATGGTAAATAATTAAAATCTAACCAAGCTCATAATGAAGCATGTAATTTTGACACATAGAATCCCCAAGCATGTGAGCCAGTCACTTAGGCTATATTTGGTAAAACTACCTAATAAGCTAGCTGATAGCTGATAAGCTAGTTTATAGCTTATCAGTAATTTCGAGCTTATAGCTTGTAGCTTATGATTATAGCTGAAAAACTAGCTTATATGATAAAAGTGTTTGGTAAAATTAGTTGATAAGCTAGCTGAAATAAAAATTTCAACGATGTTATTTGAAAAGTTACCAAAATAAGCTTAACAAATAAGCTCGAGTTTTTTAAATAAGCTCGTCCTACCAAACGGAGCTTATTTAAATACATGAAGCTTATAAGCTAATCAGATAAGCTATAAGCTAGCTTATTGGTCTACCAAACATAGCCTTAGCAACACGTTTTGAATTAATATAAAATAAAATAATTTTTATTTTCTTTCGACAAAAAAAATGAAAAGTTTCAGAATGTGCATTTATCTAATATCTTAAATTTTTTAATTGGAAAACAAACATTAAATGATTAAATAACTACTTTTATAATCTTATTCTCTAATTTTATCTTTTTTTATTGTTGTAAGAAAATTGCCGCATCATTTTTTTCGTGTTTCAGCAAAACACTATTGTTCGATGGAGTTAACGTCCAAAATATAGAAATGCGAACATTCAAATATAGTTCCAAATGTTAGTAGATAAGCTAATTGATCGTTTATAAATTAAACTTTGATAGAACCTCAAAATTTTTGAAAAAAAAAAATAATTAATAAGTTGATTGAAATAAATCTTTTAAATTGTTTAAAATATGAAGAACCTCGAAATTTATAAAATAAGTAGCTATAAAAGTTACAATTATATTATGGTGTTTACTAATTCCCCATATGACACATTATTTTCTTCTCGTGTGAAGAAAAGAGGAAAGGAACGTGAAGAAAAATAGAGACCAGATGAATGAGAAATAATTATTAAAAATATAAATAACAAAAAAAAAAAAAAAATGTGGTACAATCAAATCTATTGGGCGTTAACAGCGACCAAGATAATTTTGTCATATGATATCACATAGGAATTAACATTTTGTGTAAACATATATAAATATGGACAGTACAAAATGCATCTTCGACCAACAACTCAAAACTTATTTCTCCATCAAGTCCAACATACAAGCTCAAATGAGGTTTCATTCTAAAACCAATTGACAATAGAAAAAGTAATCTACCAAACTTATTTATCGGACTTGGAACCTTAAATATTTGGACGTGACATTGAGTTTTCACACCCTACATCTTCCACTATAGATTCATTAGCCGTGTAATTAAATTAAAGAAGTCAATGACATCTTGGCCTACTGGTTAAGAGTGAGGTACCCATGACATGAGGTCATGAGTTCAACCCCCAGAACGCAAATGGTGGAACAATTAGTGTTGAGGGCTACAAGCGGCAGAGTGGGAGGTTGAAACTCGGGGGAACCAGCAGCTAGATAGGTGGGGCCAGCATGAAGCAATCACTTCGGTGGGACACTGCGACTGGATAGGTGGGGCCAACTTTGAGCTGGGAGGGTCAGCGAACAATCACTTGGGCATTGACTCCTTGATTTAACCGGAGACAGTTTTTGAGGGGCCGGTGCTGTTTTCTTGAGGACTAGTCAGACGCAAACCTCGAACCTCGATATAAAAAAATTAAAAAAATAAAAAAAATTAAAGAAGCAAAAATGAAGAAGCGCATTGGTGAAGCGTTATAACATTTCATGATGATGCAGTTAATCCCTATTAAAGTTGGCTTTCATCTATAAATATATAATTTGGCAAGACAAGCATTTAATTTTATTGTGATGCATTAAATTTTATTCTCCCTCCAATTTTTTTAGCATTCAATTTCATTTTTAAGTTACAAATTAACTTGCTTGAATGCCATAAATTATGAGCATAAATCAATTAAGGGAGTTACAAAATTGATTTAGCATAAAGAAAATGGTTGTAATGGCTCTTCTATTTTATTATTTCCTATTTGTTTGAGGGTACCGTTAAAATTTCGACGCAATTTTTTTTTAACATGGTCTCCTATACTATGGCGATCATCAAGAGTCAAGATCAATCTCTCTCACACGTTCGCTTAGTCTTGAATGACCCTGTTTTCAGTAATAAACAATTGGACGTTGCTTTTCTGGAGTTACTAATGGGAAGTGTTTGAAAATAATGATATGTGGTGATGGTGATTCTGACGATAGAAAAACCATAAATATTGTATACAAACAATATGTTTAATAAAATTTAAAATCATTTTCTTAATTCATATTTTTTCTCATGAAATGAATTATGGTTATGTATTTTTTTATATTATTATCTTTTCTAAGTATTTTTCTTGAGCACTAGAATGACTTATATTATTATCATTTCCTTCACATTATGTCACTTCCAAATTGCTTATTATAATTATTAATAAAATAATTATGATAATTATTCCCCGTAATTGGAAAATCCCCATCAGCAAAAGAATGACTTATAACAGTTGTTTATTCATATTTATTTTGCAAAAATTAATCCCAAAGATCAGACACATTATAATTCGAATTATTTATATTAATTAAAATAAATTAATACTTAGCTAAATTATGATGGCCAGATAAATTTGTTTATAATCCCAATACTAACTCCTTCAAAACATGGATGAATTTCAATATATTCTTATTTTATGGAAAAACAAAACTGGCGGTGTTTATAAATTCTTCCATGTACAAGTTCAAAAATTTCAAGGATTTAAATAGTCCCAAGTTTGTTTTTTTCTTCTTAAAAAAGAGGATCTAAACTGGTTCCCCAATTCCCCTCCGAGTGACTCGAACTCGGGACATGGTACACGCCAAAGTGAGGGTACAATAGTCCCAAGTTTGTTAACCCAACTATGCTTATAGGTACTGTTTAATTTTTTGTCTTTATAAATAGCTATTACATTTTCCTTTGTTGTTTTAATTATATCAATCAATTATTTTTTTATTATTATTGTTGTTATTATTATTATTTTGAAGATATAATCGTTAGAATAGTCATGTACCAAAATGTGCAAACTACCATCTTCAAAAGGTGTTGACAAGAGATTTGTTGACCAAAATTGTATGTGGCACGATCTAGAGTCATCAGTCGGAGGAGTTTGGAGATAATAATTTGTGTTGATGGAGATTGTGACGATAGAAAAACCACGAACGTTGTATATAAAGAAATATTTAATAATATTTAGATATTATTTCTTATTTTGTTTCAATGATTATGTTATTATTTTTATATTTGTTTTTTTTTTACTTTATTCTCTTCTATCATAAACTTTCCGTGCAAATGCACGGGCCAAAAACTAGTTGTATTATATAGGATAGGCGTGCGATTATTACCTTGTCAATTCACCATAATCACATACTCCTCCTAGTTATGATATGATATGGACTCAAAATGTCTGCAATTTTGTATGTTAT